GGTAGTCATTTTATCAGTTTATTGCTAAAGTGTGGACTGCCAGGCATGTAGTCTATGCGAGGCCACGACCCACGACCGGCTGCCGGACATTTAGCCACAGTGTATATTTCTTGCTTCACTTCCTTCAATATAGAAGCAAAACATGCAGATCCATATAACTTTGTAAAGTAACAAACAACTTTTTAGAGTTTATACCCTTCACCCAAGAACCCCTGGTAATTTATATTGAAAAAAAGCAATTATTAAGAACTTAAACTGGAGACAGTGGATGCCTTTTGTCTGAACAATTTGAATAAAACTTAATTCTGGTCTTTTTTCTGGGATTAGATAGAATCATAATAATYATATATCATAGATATTTTAAAATGAATCTAATCACACATTGGTAAATGATTTGGCAACAGTGTTAAGCACTGAATCCATTACTGTGCGAAAGGTAGCTTGATCTGGAAACTGCTTGGGGAAGGTCACGTGTTGCAAACATGTTGAAGCAAAGATTGATTCAGTACTCTCAAACTTTACTTCTATTGTTCCAAGCCCAAAGTTGGGTAAACATGGAGCTCCTGTTGCAAAAGTTAAGAAGTTACTCAGAGTTTCATTACTAGCCTTCTGAAGAAACTCCTTTAAGAAGTTATGTGTAGAAGTTTCATCTTCATCCATTAGAGAAGGGAAGCAGAGACATTGCACTAACTCATCATAAGTAATACTGGCATCATCTCGTACAAATAATTGCCTGAATATGTCTGGGTGTTTCTTTAGTTGATCGGAAAAACCCAGTGTATTAAGACCCTCTCGAAATTGATCTAGTAGTATCTTTGGCCTGCTAATGGCATCATGAACCATAACACTATGGATGACATTGATTTTGTTGTCATTCTGTAGAAACACAAAGACAGCAGTATAAGTCAAGTGTAGTATACAAAATAACATCAACATGTGAAATAAATATGAAAGAATTAAGACAGAGAAAAATATTCCATAAATGACTCAGCAGATTAAAACATTATGGAAATTGACCCTATACAAAAAAAAAAAGAGGGAGGGACTATGAACAAACCTCACATACAATCATTAGCGGTTCCAAAAAAAAAAATTTCTTGTGTAAATTATAAATTTGGGAGAGTTGTGTTGCCATAAATAAATTCATGCAGAGTTCTAAGCATTTGAAATGTGAAAAATAAAGCAACCAATGATTATGATTATGAAAATGAAGGTAAAAGGCCTTGACTCTTGATTTCCCTGATCGCCTGAACTCRAAAACTAGTGTACATGTATCCTTCAGTACTTACTGTCAAACACTTTGTAATTCCACATTCTGATAACATCTGAATTACTGAATCMTTATCTACTGCAGCAACATCTCTGGCACTTGCAACCTTAAAAAGGAATGAGAAAAACAGATCTTTTTAGAATTCCTTCTAAAAAGAATAAGCTTACATAAAATACAAATACAAACATACACAATATATCCTATTTACTATTTACAAACACAGAGTGCTATTATTTTTTTGTACAGCATTTCTTGTATTTGATTGCAAAAAGAGTGCGTGCCTCGTCTGTGACTGTCTTCTAAATTCAGGTTGGCCATGCCATGCTTTGTTGTACGTAACTGCAGTCATGCTGCATGGCTTTTCACTTTTGTATACAATCTTCTCTAAAGCATTTCATAGACGTTATGAATAAAGCTATAGAAGTCATAAAGTCATTGTAGCAAGTATTTGAAAAAAWTTGCTCCTAGTAGTAAATCTGCAAAAATTCAGAGCTCAAGCACAAATGCGTGAAAAGTTTCTGAATTTTGTAATTAGGGATTTGTATGAAAAAGAGAACCAAGGCCTGACCAGCCTCGTTTTTATGTTTTTGGACATTTCAAATGCAGTGATTTGACATATGTAAACTTAAGTCTAACAAATTACTAATCCAGTCATGTTCTTTATTGTAATGGAAAAGGTTTTCAAAAACAATGATTGTAAGCAGTGCTCATTYCCAGTCTCTTGCYGTTTTTGCATAGGGTCAATTGAACATAAGGTAGGAACATGGCTCAACACTTTCCACTTTCTCTGGGGACTGAAATCAATAAATGATAGATAAAGAAATCAGCTACTTACCATATTAACGAAAGACTTTACACCAAGAGAGCAGTCCTCAATGGTCACCTTCTCTACAGCTGCATCTATGTCACCAGTAGCCAGGTAATGATAGACTCCTGGACTAAAGATAGGAAATCCAGGGCCACCAAGGAGAATRCTATGGACAACAATTGTTCCACAAAGCTTCATAATACCACATGCTACCATGTTAGCATTATAAACTGGTTGTTTGTACTCATCGCCTTGGAAGAACTCAGTTGAGATCATATTAAGTAGCTGGGTAAAAAACTGACGGGTAACACCACCTGTATCTGCAGCTGGCTGCTTATTAAAAATAACTCTCAATCTCTGTCGGGGGTTGAAATCAGGATCTTTATAAAAGGCCATTGCATCATTTATCAAATCTTCTTGGTCTACCTTTAGCTTCACTTTTTCATTACTTAGGTTGCCTCTTAGCTCACGAAGTAATGATTTAAGTGTTACAGGAGGATCAGCAAAGGCTGATTTCATCAATTCAGTATCATCTGGTTCAAGAATGTCAGATGGTTCTTGTGTTGCAGTTTCTTGTGGTTTGTTCAGAGTTGATATCAAAAGGGCCACTGCATCTGGAGTTCCATGAGTGCTTAATAATCTTTCCAAAGTTGCCTCCTCCCACTCTGGAAACAGTTCTTTAAAATTATTGACTTCCTGTCTTGCAGAGCATGTTTTTCTTTGTTTTCCTTCATCTCTTAGAAATTTGTAAAAGAAAGGGCTAATTAGTTTGCTATATTATTGTGTTTCACTCCTCACAGTCCTTACTTTGTTTCATTCAACCAGATCACTTTTCATACTTCCAGTTTCAAAAAATATTATATCACAATTTCTTTTTGCACCAAAAATTTAAGGAAATCACAAAAAAAGTTAATATTTCATCATAGGCGCCCTCTTCAATTTATAAAGTACTGTATTTTCAGTTGACCTTTTTCCCTTGAACTTCCAATATTTGATGACCCGACCCTCTCCCTGCCGACAATAAATGAACAGTCCAGAATGATAATGTTACTTGACTGTTTTGAAGAGAGTTTTTAGGGATTGAATATTCAAAGATTTTTTTAACTGCTATGTTGACTTACTGTGCATAATATTTAATAATATTTGGTATGTTAAGGCGAATTTTGTCACCTAAGACTGTTCTTCATCTTGATAACTTGATTTAAAGCCAAATTGTCAAGTTGAGAGCTGTGATTTGAACTCTGATTTTTCAGCAGGGATGGGATGCCATACATCTCAGAAGTAGGGGGAACTTTTAATGATAAACTGGAATTGCTGCATATGCATATAATTGGAACTTACCTCTCAATAAATTCATCAAGTATAACAAGGCTGCTTGATCTCTGTAACACACATTTGATAACAATTATTGGGACTTGTCATAAATTTATCAGGGGGAGGGGAGGTGAAGATCTTGAATTGAGCATTGAATATGTGACCTCCTGCAACAGGAATGAAAATTTGTGACCCTACCCTTTTAACTGTCTGTTTTTTTCACAGCCCACCCTTTTTAATGGCTCAAAAAGTCATGACCCTCCCCACTTTCCATCCCCATTTCCCACTGTTAATTCCTGAGTGATCCCTTAGTTTAAGTAGTTACTGCAAATATTATATGATCACCAATAGACCTTTTACAAACGGAGCTGGTAATGGGCACTGGAGGTTTGAGAGACGTTATTTCAGAAAAGAAAGCCTCTCTTATCTGTCTTTTTTTCCTTAAAAATGCTTCTAACCACTTAAAAGCTACTAAAAAGCATTTATCAAGGAAAAAAAGACAGATTTGAGAGGCTTTGTTCAATTTTTTTTATGTCATACCTTTCTAGCCTTGTGCATTTCTTCAGCATGGCTTCGGAATTCATGCATTGGAATGTCCTTCTCGCACTGCATGCACTTCACTACAGGTCCAGAAATCTGGTTTTTATTGAAAAGAATGTTAGCCATCTAGTCTGAAATTACATCTGTGAATAATGTATTTCCTATAAATAAATGCCAAAATAAGGTGAAGAAGTGATAGTACAGTAATCCTGTACCACAGAGCCATAAYYRTGATAATAATAGTAAAGACCATAATAAAGATAACAATAATAAAAATTAACAGTGGATTCCACAGAGTGGCTCTTCTTCCACTGTATTCCAATTTTAATAATTACGATTATCATCACTTATCCATTGGGAAAAACAAATGACACAAGGTCTAAACACTTGTTTCACAGTACCTGTTACTGTACTTTTATCACTTTATTCTTATTGAAACTAAGAAATCTCCAAATTAGGCCTATAAGAATAAATRATATACCTTTTCTGTTGTGCTGTAGTCTTGTATTCCCTGGTCTAAGTTGTCAAGGTCCCTCTGAAGAGGTCTAACATAGACCTGAGCYTGTCCAGCAAGTTCCTTGATCTTAGCAGGGGTATAAGGTGGTGGAATGCTGTGGAAGCCTTGTTCAAGACCACCCCTTTGATAGAGTAGCAACTCATATCCACCTCCTACTTCAAGGAGAGGATATCTTTCCACAAGGCTATCATGAATATTGGGACTATTGATGTCCAGGCAAATAGAACCTGGTCCCAACCCAAGGTTTGATAATGAAGTCTTCTCATAGATGGCACTTGGGGGCTTATCTGCATCTTTTTTAGCCAAGCACATCAATTTTATGGTGCAAGACTGCGTTTTGCCTTTCCCTTTTTTAGATTGTCGAACATTTGATGRCTGGAATGAAACCCTGGGTTGATAGTTAAACACTCTACGGTGTTCTTGTGGAATGCTAGTAGTTGCATTTGAAGGACTAGAGTCATTCTTTGCGTTATCTGAAAAGAAAGATGATGCTAAGCTAAATTCCATATTTCATCTTGATAGGAATTGCGAAACAAGGTTGTCCAAGTCCAACTGTAATGATCCGAATTACCTAAATATATTCCATTAGGGTTGAAAAGATAAATACACGAATAACTTTTATTTACACTCTTCTCGTTGATACTCATGGAAAAGTTAACAACTTCTCTGCAAGCTACAGTATGTGTAGTTCGTGCAGCACTAGAGCACGTGTGATGAGCCCACGTCATCACTGTACAGCGGCTTACTATGGCATAGGTCAAACGCACTCGTGCGTGAAGTTCAATGGTAGAACATGAATGTTGGATTGTAACCCATCAATGACGGAAAGACTATGCGTTTGTATCTAAAAACTTTAAAACCTTGGTCCTTGAACGAGAAACTCCGAATGGTTCATTTTAATATACGGTTTAGAAAATAACGTTCTCAAAGTTGAATGTTGAAATTGGTGTATGTCAAAAGAGCAATGTCGAATTTTGTCCAGGCACGGAAAGCTATTAACGAATGTTCAATCGTTGAACTCGAATGTTGGACGAGATTACGGCTAAGTTGAAATCGAAATCTTCAATGTCGGAAAAGCAACTAACAATATTGCATTGCAAGTGAAACACTAAATTCTTCATAAGAATGTTGAAAGCCTGATGTTGAATTTTGTCGGGAATATAACGCCATACTGTCCGACTTCCCCTGAAGGTGGTCAACATTTTCTCCATGTCCTGTTTCGGTTCAGTCCTTTGATTTTAACAAGGGGCAGAACTATTTTCAAAGGTTATGACAGCTCAGTGCTAGCCGGAAATGTATTCACCTACTCGATTTCCTGTTGCGTCTGTCAACGTCGTCTCGCACTTTAAACACAGAGCGTGATAGCAAATAAATTCGGCGCACCGATCTCAAGTAACCATTGAACAGAAAGATCTTGGACAGCACGGAAAGAGGTAGAGCCCCTCTTGTTGTGGACTTGGATAGCTTTACGCCCTCAACGTGTCATTTAATCGAAAAAAGTTAGGAGTTTGCAGTTCATAATCTTGAACAATGCTGCAAAGTATAGTTGTGATCTTGGCTTACATCTTGTTTTCATTGCATCGTGCAGAAGGTAAGAGAACCCTAAAGCAACGATAAGTGCTTATATTATCGCGTCACTACCGTGTTCCCATTTCATTCATCATTTATCTAGGCCTGATTCTCAAGTTAATATTCGAGTACTCTTGAACCGTGGCTTGTACGAGTCCAATCCTGAATAACAAAATTCCTTTATTTTCAGCCAATTTTTCAGCATCTTAAGGCACAATATCACGAAATAAAAGATTTGTAAAGGCTCTTCTAAACAACAAAAAGATCGTGTGTTTAATAGGTAGATTTGCGCAATTACACTCCAATGTCGGAAGGGGTGTAAAGCAGTAAGGCTTTCAATTTGATACAGTAATACTCAATACTGCGACATTGGAGAGCTAAAAAGTCTCGTACATCAAGCTAGCCTTTCGCGATGTGTCGACTAATAAATAACCCAATCATTGCTCTTTGACCAACATTTACCATGATTGTGTCACGTTCGAAACCTTCAGATTCATGCGTTCTTATCTAAGACCCTAGTTATGTGGATCTGGCGACATCACCGTACGTCATCCTTCATGTCCTTCATGATAGCATCAAAAATAATATCAGTTCTCATGATAAGTACTGTCTGGATTACTAAGATGCCTAACAAGAAAACCCTTGTGTCCATTACATTAAGCGAGCAAAAGTACGTTTATCATAGTGCATGTTTTTTCCTGTTTTGTTCAGGGACTTTGTCTTAGCCGAGCTTTACCCGAGTCTTACCCGAGCTTTACCCGAGTATTACGAGATCTGCACGATGCAAAACCTTACTACTAGGTTTACTAGGTTTAATAGGCGATGATGGAATAGATTGTCTGGGACATGGAAAATAAAAAAGGCCTCTCAACCTTTACCCTTAACATTGAGATCGTGTATGTTGTTCACAGCGCTGTATATCTAGCAGCACAGTAGCATGCAGCAGCAATCTCAAGTATGTTAATGGTTGGTAATAGTATTGGGAGTGGTGGTGGGAGTGTGGGAGTGGTGGTGGTGGTAGTGCTGGTAGTGCTGGTTTGGTAGTGCTGGTGATGATAGTAGCAGAGGCAGTAACATCAGCAACATCAGCAGCAGCAACAGTAGTTTTAGCAGTAGTAACAGTGCGTAGATATAGTAGTAATGGTGGTGGTGCGGTGGTGGTACTCAGAAGAAGTAGAAGTAGTTGTTGTTACTGCATAAATGATTCTATCTTAACATGCACCAGATCATCAGCATCATTATCAATTAACGCATACTACCTCCTTACTCATATTCTGTCAGACATCTCAAGAGTTCCACAAACATTCTTTGGCTAATGAGACTTACATTCCAAAAATAATCGTCAAGTCAACAAGCTTTTGACTGGCTGTGTGCCTGTTGACAGTGTGCCAAGAAACAAGACAAATGGCGGTGACATCTCTTTCTTGCAATAATTCTCTATTGTTTTCACCTAAAACAAAGATGTAAAGCAACCATGAAGGACTTGAGATTTTAGACTTGTTTTGCAAACTCGTATTTGTGTTGGTAAGAAGTATTTTGAACTGATTTACTTTTCTGTCACGCAACAGTATCCAGATTACAAGTCACGCCATTTCCTGTTAAAATGTAGTTGTGAATCGCAATGAATGAGGGCCGAAGGATGCGAGAGATTGCTTGAATAGCCAGTCTGCTGCTGTTGCTGCTGCTGCTGCTGCTCCTGCTGCTGGTTGTGGTGGTATTGATATTTTATAAGCAAATTTTATAGATCAAAACCTTTATAATCCATTGCTTTCCATTTCAGCTGGGATGTGTTTAGAATCGCAGCAACCAAACGGCAACTGTATCGGCCTGTATTACCCCAACAAGACGGCAGCCGAGTGCTGTAATCATTATGGCAACTATTACATCATCGAGAACTACTCTTTCGAGGAACGTTTTCGTATTCGCATTTCCGGAAGTGGTTTTCCAAACTGTATGTCGTGCGCTGTTTGGAAACAACGACTGACCCAAATTTCGAGCTCGTCGACTATTGAAGGTTAGTAATGAGTTCGGCTAAAAATAACTTTTCTGCACTGCACCCTCTACAATGTAAAGGTAACAGAGCTCTCGGCAGTTGTCGATTCTGCTGCGCACTAAGCATTTGAAGATAACAAAATCTCCAATTTCATTTCTAGAGCCTGCGTTCCTCTTGGTCAGCACCGAGGAACGAGTTTTGGGTCATGCGCATATTGCTGCTATTTGGCGTCGCGCCTTTTTTTCAAGGAATAATATATACTTAGCATGGGTGAATAGTGTGCGTGCGTTCTGGTTATTGGCGTAAGACTTCTCTATTTACATATAAATAAAGTTTAACATGATGCATATGGCTATGTTGTTGGTGGACTCTTCTTTTCTTTCTTTTCTAAACTGTTTTTCTTTCATCCATTTTGCTTTGATTAACGCAGACAAGTGTAAAGACGTCAACTGTGGCCCTAACAAAGTATGCAGGCTTCGTCACAACACATTAACTTGTGTGTGCCAGCGTCCAAAGTGCAAAAAGCTCCCACCAAATCCCGTGTGCAGTAACTTTAACAAGACGTACCGTACCGAATGCTCACTAAACAGACATGCGTGTATTAACAATAAACAAGAACAGGTCGCGTATGATGGTCCCTGTAGAGGTATGTAACCAGCTATACTAGGCCTTTTATATGTTCATATATTTGATCAACGGGATGCATTCTGGTCTAGTTTGGGTACAAGGAGCACCTTATAACGCTTGATGAACAAAAGATGTTTGTACCCCAGCTAGACCAGAGTGCACCATGTTATCCCAAAATAGATCTATGTAGTCTTTCCGTTACGTTTATTAAACAGGCAGGACGTATTCGGGGGGTCTTCGAGTGTTGTGTAGCTCCTTATTGCTATGAGTGTTTGTGCTTTGTGGGGACCGAAGGGACAAGGGATGATTTGTTTGGTTTAGTATAGAGAGTCTCATCCCCATTGCAAATGAAGGAATGCCTCTGAAGTTATCAATTATCGTTTTAGATTCTTGTAAAGGTGTTCGCTGTCGAGACGGCATGCAGTGCATTGAATTCAAAGACAAAACCAAGATGCCGTATTGCGTCAAGTGTAACGGTAGACTGTGCACTCAATCGTCCACCAATAGTCCTGTGTGTGGGGCTAATAACGTTACTTACTCGAGTTATTGTAAATTAAGGATGGCCACTTGTAGACGAGGGAAAACTATTGGTATTGCATATATTGGACCATGTAAAGGTAAACATACCTCAGAGTGCAAACCATAGCTATACTAGAAACATCAGGGAAAAAAGCTTAAACGTCATATGATTTAAGTTTCTGCCAGTTCAATAGACATCTTTACCTTAGGAATTATGTCTTGCCATTTTTTGTGTTATTCTCATTTCTTTGTTTAACGGTCATGCACATGAGAAGACACATGAACATGGATATGACTCAAAGATTCTTATTCTCAAGGGATTGACACGTGGTCTGAAATGGGAAATCGTTAGACTAAAGACTATTGCCTGATGTTCAAACAGATAGTTTTTCGTCTCGCAGAAAATATAGCTTACTTTGCCACTCCTAAAGAGAGATAGTAAAAAGACAAAGCTCTTGTATCAGGGTAACGTGCTACTTAGTGCATAATTAGAACAGCTCGTAATTTCGAATTGCGCGCGAATATTTTTTACACGTCATTTTGGATCGCAACTTTTAAAAAAGTTGATCTAAAAAGTAAAAAAGAAAAGGAAAATATGAAAGGGGTTTTGACACAACCCTTATAATTAGAAAAAAAATTGATGATCAAAGAGATGTCACAAACTAGAATGTTCTCACAGTTTTAAGCTGTCTCTATGAAGATAATCTCGATCCCCTGGAGAAGTACTGGAGTCAAAAAAACAATGATTTGATTTGCTTTAATGCTGCGCGGCAAATTGCGCAAAAAATCTGAAACACAGAAATTTAACGAGAAACATTTTGTAATCTTTTTTTTTTTGTTCTTCATCAGCCAAAGCAAACTGTTCCAATGTTGTATGCCCAAAGGACATGATATGCTTAAAAGACAACAACGGTCCGCGATGTGTGCGATGCAGTAGAGATTGTACTGACATAGGCGATGATCTGTCAAGAAAACCCGCGCATTTACTCCGAGGACAGGTGTGCGGAACAGATCGCCAGACTTATCCTAACCTTTGCGCGATGAGGAAGAACTCTTGTAAAACTCGGAAGTTCATTGGTGTTCTACATCACGGAGTTTGTAAACGTAAGAAGGTTAAAACGTTATTTTTAACCGCTCATGGTTGTTTTGGGTTTCTATCAAAATCTATTAAGCTTTAGCTGTTGTATCACAGCGTGGGACAATCGCAACAGAGCTATGCTCCAAAGCCCAAATATCGAATTAGAATTTAGAATTTGAGTTTGAGGAGGGAGGAAAACCGGAGAACCCGGAGAAAAACCCTCAAAGCACAGGAGAGAACCAACAAACAACTCAACTTACATACGACACCGAGACCGGCATGGTACAGGACCCGAGTTGCATTGGTGAGAGGCGACGCATTAGCAGCGCACTCCACCCGTGCCTCAAATCAATCCTCACTATTGAATTTGTCCTAAGAAGAAAAATCGTCCCTGATCTACGAGGGTAACACTTAACAGAATTAGCCAGTGGCTAATAAACCTAATAAGTAAGAGGAAAACTGAAGAATTGTGAGAAAAATTGTCAGGATAAAACTAACAAGCAGCTTTACTCAGATATGACAGGGAGTGTTGGTATCAAACCAATGACATGCAGCAGTACGAAAGAGAGCATTAGAAGCACACACCACCTATGCTACCTACCATGAGGAAAACATCCTTTGGTTATATACAGTCAATGTCATTAACGTTGTCCACCGAAAAAAGACATTTAGATATTTACACATTTAGACATTTAGACTAAAAGAAATACCACGTGTTTCCTTAATAGTTCTGGCATAAGACAAACGCTGAAATACCATTCTCCTCTTAAATCCTCACAAAATATGGTCGGGGCATTCTGGATTTTCAATTCACTAGTTGAATTTTACATTTAAAGTTCAGGCTGACGCACACGAGGCAAAGAATACATAATGAAACACGTGATATTTCTGTTAGTCTAAATGTGTAAATATGTAAATGTCTTTTTTCGGTGGACAACGTTAATGACACTGACTGTATATTGAAAAGCGTTTTCTTTCTTTCTTCAGCGGGAAACTGTTCATCAATAGTGTGCAAAGTTGGTGAAACCTGCCTGATGGATAAGACCAAGCCCCGCTGTGCAGTATGCAGTATGGCGCACTGTATGACCACTGTAAAACTGGCACTTAAAAGGGATCCACAGCACTACTATGGCAAACAAATGTGTGGCACCGATGACAATACCTACCCCAATCTGTGTGCGTTGAGGAAACAAGCATGTAAATCTGGGAAGTATATCAATGTGCAACACATAGGGGCATGTCAAGGTAAGATCTCTTCTAAACCATACACTGTTCTCCACTAAGCCATGTCAATCAAATTCATCAAGCTTCGGATTGGAGAATCAACATGGTGTGGCCATACTGTACTAACTTCTGGGGACTTGGGTTCAATAGAACCATTTAGCTTATATGCGTAATATTTTCCCATTTCAGACCACGTCATTCTTTGAGTTGTGTCAATATTCATGTGTCTTCTCATGTGAAACCACTAAAAAAAGAAATAATACTCTAGGGAATGACACATGGTTTGAAATGAGAAAACATTCCCAAGCTGAAAAAAGTCTATATCTGGACTAGCTGCATCACATGAAAAGAGTTTGTTAGGTCTCTCCCATGATACGAGTGTTTACGATCCTCCAAGGCACGTTTTCTGGTTCTACCTCAGCAAAACCCAACACTCAAAATTTCGAATCTATCTGTGAGTTTGGGAAAATAAAAATATTCTCTTTCGATTTAAACAGGATCAAGTGGTGCCATCTTCAATAAAACTGAAGGACCAAATGACCAGTCCTACAAACCAATGACAAACCAATACATTGAGTCACTCAAAAACAAGACAGTTTCTATGCAACAGTTGATGTCAGTGCTACAAACATTTGGACTCAAAGTTCACTTAGACAACTCTAGTAAACAACAGACCAAGACTGTAGATGCTTATCCGTTCTTCTGTCATATGTTGAGATCATTTACCAAAGCAAATATCTGGTGTTCATAGTGAGGTTTGCTGATGGTCTTGCAGTTAAAGGACATGAAGCGTACCCCCAAGACTGCATTATTCAAGTCATTATTAGATTTTTAGTTGTTTCAGTCTTCCATTTTTCCATAAATTTCAACAAGCTGTGACAAACATGTATGACTCCATGTTTATCAGTTGGACACGACATGCTAGAATGTAGTCGAACTTATTGTTGATTGGCTTATTTTGCTCTGGTTTGAAAGTTAATTATTTTTTATCGTCTCAAACATGCCATAGCATCAATAATGAACTGAATAATGTAGTCTAGGGAGGATCACTCTATTTCCTTTGACTGTAAGCAGAATGGTTGGTAAATCACATAAACTAAAGCTACCCTCAACTTAACTATATTTACAATCAAAGAGGATTTTTCTCATTTTCGTGAGTTTATGATGATTGATGCAGCCCTACATAACCATTTCTGAAATGTTTGCAATATTATTTCAGGCATTTTATGAAGCATTCTCATTCCGCAGCCATGCAGGTTGCAACAATAGATTTTCCTTCCCTTGCATTTTTTTATTCTCATGGGAATAGCCATTGCCATTTCATAATCCAATATTCACTTATTAATGTTTATTTAGTAACATGTAATATAAAGATTATATATAGCCAAACTTAAGAATAGATAATATTTATGCATATATGTCACTATTTCTTTATTTTATTATCTTATTACTGGTAAACGTTTTCAATTTTGATTCAATATTTTTCCAGATGGTTTCCATGTTTATCATTGTCTAAATGGATACATTTCTTTGCTTAATGTATATTCTTTAGAATAAGAGACTAAGTCATGCTCATTCATATACATTACATGCTCACTGTGCATGGTGCAGTAGACCTAATTAGTTTTCTATGCTTAAGCTCAGGGCCCTACACAGAATACGGCAGTCTTCGTTTATGCCACTAGGTTCAGCTCCTTTGAAGTTCAAAGTTTGTGTTCATCGTGACTGTAACCATGCTCTAGGTATTTCACTGATGTAAAATTTACTCTATAAGCGTAATGATCGATTAATATTTAGGTGTAGTTGCCAAAAGTTTTGTTGCACTAAGTATCATTATACAAACTAAATAATGGTGACTATATCTACTTGTATAATATTAAGATATAACTTAAGATTTCATTATTTCAGTATTTATGCAAGCTATAACCACATTTAAGATCCTCTATAAAGATATATTATGAACATATATACTTTATATATAAGTACCAGATACTATGTAATTGTGGTCCATTTTTAGTTGATATAAAAGATATAGTCATGAAACTGTTCATTGCTGGTTTTTTCCCCCCAAGGTTTGATACTGAGGTTAAGATAGGTTTTGGTTGGGAGTCCCTGGATTTTCATCCTCTGAAACCCAGGGGTAAGATTCCTTCACTCGTTTCTAACAACCAGGAGAAATATTTCTTCTGGTAGCGAGAAACAAGTGAAAGAATTTTACTCCTGGGTTCCGAGGGTGTTGGTTGTTATGAAATAGCAATTTATTTCACGGCATCATATACTTCTATCCACCTAACTCCTAAACTCCAAAACCAACCATCTATCCCATTTCATCCATCCATCCACTTACCAAGCCACCCAACAATCTATTCCACTGTATTCCATCCATCTATACATACACCTAACCACAAAATCAACCACGTTTACCGTCTCCATCCACCAACCGGTACTATCGTCGTGTATGGATTAACGAAGTACGTCATAGGTTTCTGAACACACGAGTGGGACTTAGAAATTTTGGTTCTCCTCACTTAGAAAAAAAATTAAGTGAAGACACCAAGAATTGAACTCGGTACCTTCAGCACCAAAGAACTACTAATGCCAACCCCAACCCTAACCCTAACCCTTAACCTAACCCCTAGACCACGAAGCGAATTCGGTTGGGTGGTCTCATTTTTTAGTCATATTTAAACGATGTATCATCAGCATGTGCACATAAATATTCATTATAGTTTAATTCATGCTATCGTAGGGTACGACTACTAGCCGATTACTTGAAATTTGAATTTGAAAAGAATTCCCCTGACAATTCCTGTACACGACGATACAACCCACCAACCCACCAAACACTCTATTCCACTGTATCCCATCCTTCCATCCATCCACCTAACCACCAAACCACCCACCCATCTATTCCATCCCATCCATCAATCCATTCACCCATATTCATCCATTCAATATGAAATGGACATTGTTTTACTACAGTTTTTAGTGCATTTTATTATTACATGTATTTACAAATTCTTACCAAAGGTATTTACAGAATTGATGGGGGTAAACTTTATGAATCTTCTACAACCATCATTGCAACAAAATCTTTATAAAACACGACTCCCTTTTCAGGATCAACTGCTGCCGACAACATTTCCTCCATCTCTTCTTGAGTAAAAGGTTCACCTATGATGAAACACTCAGTGATATTAAATTATGGACATTTCATGAATTACCTTATAAGGTTCATTGTGACCTCTGCTGTGGTAGAGGGATTGAAATTGAAAGAAAGGGAGACTCCTCTTTTCCCTCCTCTCTCTATTCCCAGTGGCGGTAAGTGAAGGTTGGGTGGGGTGTGTTGATTGTTGAGGCCCCTTTTCCTCCAACACACACACATCCCAACTTCCACATGTTGACATCAAAAGTGACAGTTTACCTTCTTCTGTCATGTACTTGGTGAGCTCCTCAGTCGTCAAATAGCTTTTCTTTTCTTGATCAAGAACTTCAAAAGCTTTGTTAAGTTGATCTTCTGGAGATGGCTTGTATCTAAACAACAATGTATAACATTATTCCAGCTGTAGTATTAAAGTACAAACACTAAATATGTGCAATAGTTATCACTATTTAGCAGTAAATAGCACTACTTAAACAAATGAAAACAATATAATTAGCAAAAAATAACACTATTTAGTGATATGTATGTTGCACACTTTTAGTGTTTGTACTCTACTGTTATTCTATTAATTAATAATATTGACAAACGAGAATATAAACGTACTTTCTTTCTAAAAGAACTTTCAACATTACTGGTTGAAACTTTTCAAATCGAATATATCCAGTAGGCTCTTCTTCTTCTACCTAAAGTTGTTCAAGAAAGACAAGCAAAATTTGAATTTTGAAACACTCGAGTTTGTAGATAAAAAAGCATCTGTGTTTTGCTATAAAACAGCTGATCTGAATCTACATTACATCTGCAAGAATATCATGAAGTTCTCCCTCTGTTGGACAGCACAGCAAAGACCTAACAATCGTTCCAACTTCCCTGTTAATAAAAAGAAGATAAACAGTTAAAATTTTAAAAGAATGTTAACCAAACAGCAAAACATTTCGGCCTATTTTCTCACCTCACATCGACAGTTTTGTTCGATTCATGGTCAAATATTTCAAATGCTTCAGCTATCTTCTTCTGAAGCTCTGCAGCAGACGAATCACCGCCATCAGTAGGGGTTTTTTCAGCATTATTTGTTGGCTCTGTGCTTTCAGCTCCGACTGCACTTGTGGTGTCCGCCATCTTGTTTAAGACTCAAGTTGCTATAGAAACGTACAGGAAGCCCAATATAACATCCTCTAACTTCCCATAAAAATATCAAGCTTATTACACATTATTATTACTTTCTTTACAGTAATATGAATTTCTTGCATGTTGAATAATTCTATGAGTCTTCCCAATTTGGTTTTTTAGATATTTTTATCATTACTAGCAATTTAAATGCATAACTATTCAAAATGTAACCTAGGTAGACAAAACAAATTAAGAATATTATCCTTTGAGTTCCGTTTAAAACAATACGTTTATTAAAGATTTTTCTTCCGTGACGACAGCGTAAAAAAAAATATTTTGAAAGTGAAAGAAAAATTAGAAATTTTCAGGGGTAATCCCACTAGTGCCCAGACCCTCATGGTATTGAGTGATAGGGGGAGTCTGGGTTAATACTTTACTGTACATTCGCCATGGCAAGTAATTCTGTGGTAAGCAAGCATCTTTTTTCTCCATTTTCTACCCTTTTTTTCAACCTCAATAACTAAAAATCTCTTCCTATACTTACAGAGGGAACTGCTGAAGGAGCTACCGTCGTTTAATCAATCAAATTTTTCCAGATATCACAGAGATTCAACGTGTAAATCCTCGGTGAGTCCAACACGATGTTTAAAATAGGTTGAAGTAATTATCAAAAGGTTTCGAGAAATATTCATTTTTTGTTTTCTTTTTTTCTTTAGAATCGTCGACCTGCAGTTTATTTACCGACAAAAGATGTTATATCAGAGGAACAAAGTAAGAAACGTAATATTTGACCTTAGATTTAATGCTGAAAGATACTTTTCTCTTTTTCACGAGATATTCTTGTATAAGTCAAGCTAATGGTTTTACTTTAAAATATTTCACTGTACAAGTATATATTATATACCTACATGCATTAGTTATTATCCTAATTATTTAGATAGCCAAATATTTTTCCTCAAGGAATGGAATTTTAAATTTATGATAAACATTCCAAAAATGTTAATTTATTATTTGTGCTTACTCACTATTGCAAGCTGTTTAGCTAAGAATCCAATCTAGGTTTCTCTTTTGTGGAAACATTTCTGGATTTATCCATAGTTTTAATAGCCACACAAAAGACCTCTGCCCTTAATTATACACTTAATTTACAGACAAAATTACATGTGAAGAACTTGATATTTTCACCTGCTTGAAAATCGTTTTTCTCAAACTGACTGAACCAAGCCAGACAAAACAATCAAAAAATGCTGCAATGGGGAAATTGGAATCCGTATTTTTATCATGAGCACTCGTTAAGATGCAAGGGATATAGCTGCCTAAGCCTATAGACCTAGAGCTCTATGTTCTTAGGTATAATGCTACCCCATTTCCGACCATGTGTCATACCCTAGAGTATCATTTCATTATTTAAAGGTTGCTCATGAGAATACACATGAATATATGTGATCAGTTAAATGACAATGATCTCTCTTGTGTCTTTGCTAAAAAAACAATCATGTCATGATACAATCATGTTATTTTCAAAACACACTAGCAAGCGCTCAACTATAGAATACGACAGAAAAATGTTTGCTCAAGTTCACTTGGCTATATGTAGATACAACTCAAATGAAGAATCCTATTCTCGAGAGAGTAGCATCTGGTCTGACCATGGGAGAATAGATTATTTCTGATGTTTTCTTGTTTCTTTTAACAGCAATAGTAACAGACAGACACTTCGCTATATATAGATACCACTCAAATGAAGAATCCTATTCTTGAGAGAGTAGCATGTGGTCTGACATGGGAGAATAGATTATTTCTGATGTTTTCTTGTTTCTTTTAACAGCAATAGTAACAGACAAAACAAATATTCTACTAAGATACTTGCATCATCAATGGGAAGCAAAGGTAATCCATCATTCACTCCCTATTTTATATGACATCACAGCTTGTTTACATAAGTTTGCAAGAAAAGTAGAAATTTAAGCTAAATCTTCTATCATTCTGGAGTTATTTATTGCAAGATTTAGCTGTTCTCATTTTTCACTGTCTCTTATAAGGTGGCTGCCTACTTTTGAACGTTCGATTTGAGCCCAYGATGTGCGCGCGCTCAAAAACTGCTTAAAAATCTACAAGATTTTATTGAAGAACCATACGCGTTTTGAGCTTCAACAGGGCAAAACCCTCGAATTTTGCAGGGGACTCTATATTTTTTAATAGCTCATTCGAAAAAACTCCTAAAAATCTAGGTTATATCAACATTTTAGGAAAAGTTTAAATCAGGAACACGTGAAAAAATAGATTTTTGTAGGGATTTTTGTTCGACTTTATGAGATTT